TTCGATCTGCATCTGTCACGTACTGAAACTCTCTCTCTCTCTCTCTCTCTCTCTCCATCTGTCCATTGACAGAAGAGCCAATCAAGGCGACTATTGCTCGATTTGATTGGCTTCATTGTCGCGATGTTTAGGCAAAATTTTGACAGGTTTGACCGAATAAACAGCATGCGAGATCGAAATGATGTATATGGACAAAACTAACGGAGTAGTATTTTGTTGGCATTGGACCTAACAATAATCCTGACACGAAAAAGTTTAACCGGTGTCTGCCTACTTAATTGCAAGTCAACTGATAACTAACCAATTGCTGGTTACCGCTTACTGCGGCACAACACCTGCATCATATCATATCACTGATCGTCTGAATCGCAACAGTGAAAATTAAGCTAACTTTCTAAAGATAAAAATTCAAGCTAATTTCTAAGCCTTCCTATCGTAGTATCCACGAATTATTATCATCTGAGCAACGACGTGAGGAGGAAGAAGAAGATTAAAGAGAGTAATTAATCCACCCATGGACAGGGAGATCGATCGCCGGCCATTACTGCACGTACACACACGCACGACGTGATGGCCGAGCAGAATTAAGGATTAATAAAGAAGAAGCTTTCGATCTCTCACGGAGGAGACATGGAGCACCACTCGATCGATCTCAGCTGCAATTAAAATCAAATAACTATAGATTAGTACTATCTCCGTTTTTTAAATAGATGACGCCGTCGACTTTTTCTCACATGTTTAACCATTCGTCTTATTAAAAAAATTATGCAAATGTATAAGATATAAATCACACTTAAAGTACTATGAGTAATAAAACAACTCATAACAAAACAAATTATAATTATGTAAATTTTTTGAATAAGACGAATGGTCAAACATGTAAGAAGTTAACGGCGTCGTCTATTAAAAAATGATAGGGAGTAGTATTTTGCTACTAGGTCAGTTGGGTAATTAGACCAACCGACGAACTCTGATGGCGACCTTGGACCGACCGACTGATCCCCTGTGCCACTCGTGCTCGATAGATCGATCAATCGATCGATCTAGCTTTGCAATTTCTGCAGAAAAATTACTAATTAATCAACCTCGTCAGATCCATCCACAAGCCTACAAAGTGTAACCAGTTAATTAATTTACCAGTTGAGTACAGTACTACTACTAGCTAGCTAGCAAGCATTACTGCAGTTGAAGATTAATTAATCAACAGTAATCCGTCATTAGTAGCTAGCAAGTCGAATTGAGCTCCCAAAAGGCTGAGCTAGCTTTTCTTCGGAGCAACAAATTAAACACTGACACTGACACTAACACTTTGGGTTAATTAGGGAATCATTCATTCATTCACGATCGATATGCGAATCCTGAATCCATCACCTGCAGGTCCCAGCTGCTAGCTAGCTGCTGCCTCTCAGCTTCAGATGCATCTGCGATGATTAATTGCGACCTTGCAAATGATTCAATGGAGCGTGCGGTGGTGAGATCTGTGGCATCTGTAGGTTGTTTCACGTGGATCACATTTATGACCGGCTTATGGGCACTTGCTAATTACTAGGAGGAGCTCATCACTGTCTTAGGCCCCGTTTGGCACAACTCTAGCTCCCAACTCCAACTTACCTGGAGCGGGAGCTGTGCCAAACGGTCCAGATTCACCTTTTTTTGGAGTGGAGTTGGCAGAGCTACTCCTAGAAAATGAACTACGGGGGTGGAGCTGGGTTTTTGCTGCTCCACAGCTCCACTCCACCCCAAAAGACCCACTACCTTCTAATATTTTAGTGTATTTACACGAAAATGCCACTCAACTACCCTTTCACCCCTTCTTTCCTCCCGTTCTCTCTCCTCCCCCAATCTTCCTCTCAATCCCGAGCTAGTGCGGCGGCATCGGCGGGCTGCGGCAGCGTTGACGGCGACGGGCAGCGACAGCGGCGGGCGGCGGCGGCTGCGGGATGACGACGGGCGGCACGCACGCGCGGCCGGAGGCTGGCGGCGGGGGGCTGCGGCAGCGGCGGAGAGCGGCTGTTGGGGGACGAGGACGGGCGGCGCGGCGGCGGGGCCAGCAGGTGGCGGCGGCCCATCTTCTTCCCCATCCTCCGACGACGGCCACAACCGGTTGTGGCGGCGTCTGCGTTGGCAGCATACGGGGGCAGCAGGCCGCGGCGCATCGGCGGCGGCAGGCGGCGGCGGCGGCTGCGGGCGGTGTTGCGGTGGCCACGACGGGCAGCACGCGGCGGCGGCGTCGGCAGGCGACTCGCGTGCGGGGGCGTCGGCAGGAGGCAGCCTGGGCGACGGCGGCGGCCTGTGCGGCGGCGCTTGCGCAGCGGCTTGGGAGGCGGCGGAGATGCGTGGGCTTCTCGGCGGCGGTGGCTCGTGGGCTGACTGGCTACGGCGGCAACGTCAAGGCGACGCCTAGAAGGTGTTCGATGAAATGGCGACAAAGGATGTAGAAATATGGAGCTGAGTAATCTAGCCAAACACTTTTTTACCTACCTCAGCTCCTAGAGGAGCTAGCTCTCACTGGAGTTGGAGTTTGGAGTTGGGAGTTGGAGTTAGGAGCTCTACCAAACGGGGCCTTAGGATGCCCTCGGAAGAGAAGATTGTGAACTTCTCTCCTATACATGTAAAACACGGTGGCTTATTAACGCGTTATTAGTTAAGTGTTAGCTATAAAAATATTTTAAATAAATTAATATGATTTTAAAACTAATGTTTTTTTTTAAAAAAAAACTCATCATTTAACTGTTTAAAAAACGTACACGTGGAAAACAAGGGAATAGAAGTTGAAACCTACGTCCGAACGCACCCTAGCTAGCTTCCATCTTATGATCTCACATTCGGAATAAAAAAATTAAGATCTTTTATTATAGTATGGCATTGTGAGATCATCTCCACATGCATATGTGATTAGAAGTTGATAAAAAAACATTTTTAAAAAAAAATATTGACCACCTTTCGTAGCAATGAAAAAGCATTGGCCGAAAATGAAATTAGGGTGTCCTGGTTTAGCTTGAGCTCCCCTTTACCATCCATCCAAAAGGTTTGACAAAGACGACCAAACAAACTGAAAGAAAGCTAAAGATTAAGAATCTAATTAAGCTTGCTTTGTTTGTGTGTGAAAGGGGAGGCGTTTAAAAATTAGGGCAGGGAGAAAAAAAAAAGAAGTATGAGAAACGTTGTTCAGCTGGCAAGTCAACCAAACCGACCACCTGTTAGGCTCTAAAACAATACTAACTTGACAATTAAAGGATCTAATATTTTTCTTATTTTTGTTTTCGGAAATAATATTGGAATATATTATTTTGCCGGCTAAAAATACTTCTCCGGGTCAACGTGTTGAAATTGCATAAAAAAACAAGTTTTAAGAAATAACATACATTTTCTAACCGTTTAGATTTCCTCGCTGGTTTAATTGACTCACATAAAAAACAAACAGAATAAAAGTAGTGCAAAAACCATTTGGGTAGAAAAGTGATTTATATTCAAAAATCCCAAAACAATCGGTATATGTATCTCCAAAAATCTATTAGTAGTAATTAATCAGATTGTACTAGTAGGAGTGTTATTAATTTTGTCGCGACTCACGAGGCAAATCATGGGGGCGCATTACTTACCACTGACAGGTGGCCCCCACCGGACGCGGCCAATCAGGAGAAACCCATGACGCGCTCGAGTGTACCACGTCCGCACCTTTTGTTAGACTGATGTGTGGGCCCCCATCCAGCTCAGCATCTGATGGGCCGCCACCAGCCTGAGCTGGCGCACACAAAAGGCACACCCTGTTTTACTACACGAACTCATAGTGTCTGCCTTCCCGTGTCCAATTTCAAATAAAAATGATTTTTCTAAATTTCATTATATATATATATATATATCCATTCCTTAGGTCCCTCAAACAATTCACACAGTCACACTTTACAAAACTATAATCCCTTCATTCGAAAATAAATACAACTTTCAAACCAAACCACATATGCCAATACATTAAAAAAGAGACTATACTACCCTATTTTATCAAACCTCAATATAATTATTTTTCTCTTTTATCTATACTCATTTAAAAAACATTAGTGGTGCTGGCAGTGAATCTGTCACCGCTATCCCACCATTTCTTTTGTAGTTCAAATTAGCCATTGATATTTTTTGATATTATGGAATAGAGTCCAATATTTGTTTCAAACAAGTGAATATCATATATTTTAATAAGCAAACAAGTGATACTAACATTTGTGATAAAAAATGTATTTTGTCTATAACATATTATAATATACTAGTATATTCTTTTACCCATATAAAGCATGAGTAGTTTGCTAGTCTACTCAAATGCATTTGTAGTCTACTTGCACAAACTCTGATATGATTAATAAAATAAACTTATTTCGAGATAAATAGGAGGAACAAAAAATGAACTTATTCTTATATGGAAGGTGCACGTAGGCTCCTCACAGAATAAATATATATAATGTCTACCAAAATGATTCCAAATAAAACCCCAAAAATGATGGTATGAAAAACAGTTTCGAAAAACGACTTTTTATTCATAATGGCCACAAATATCTCGTGTGCTAGATTTAGCTTGAACGATTATCTAAATAAAAGATTTAGCTTGAACGACAAATACGTCAAAATTGGCATGAAAAAGAAGGGGAAAAAATGTTTAATGCCTTCCACGGGGGGTCAACCCGTTTGGTGCCCGTAGCAAGCGACGATCGGCCCAAGCTGTCACAAGCGCGAAAACGCTAACCCCACACACCACCGGTCAAACGCGTGAGGAGGAAGGTCATTGACAGGTGGGGCCCACCTTCAACGGGTGGATCCCATGAAACAGGCAATCCACCCTCCCTCTCCTCTCCTCTCTCTCCCGCCATATTCTGGTCACCTCCGGTGAGCTCACCGCCGTCGGTGGTTTGCGCTCATTCTGGGCAAGCCAAGCCAAGCCACCCTCTCCTCTCTCTCTCTCTCTCCTCTCGCGGTTGTATATATACGCGAGCAAATATATGCGAGGAATTTAGGCAGCGAGGAGAGAGAGAGAGAGAGAAGAGGAGAGGTTGGTGGCAGAGGAGGAGGAGGAGGAGGAGGAGGAGAAGCTTCTAGAAGGGGAGCGGGGCGGCATGGGGGACTCGAGCCGGTCGGTGTCCATCGACGTGGAGCGGATCTCCTTCGGCGGCAAGGTCCGTGCGCTCTGCTTTCGGTCTCTCCCGTTTCTTGCTTGATTCCCCTCCTTCAAGCTTGGTTTGGTGGGGATTTGTGTTTTGGTTTCATGGTGGTTAAGGTAGGAGCGGGGATATTCCTGCTCCCTGATTTTGGTTTCTTGCTGTTCTTGATTAGAGCAGCAAATGCTTCAAATTTTTGGGGGTGCCATGGAGCTCCTTTTCGTTACTGTTCACTTGTTCAGGGACATTGCACAAATTAGGAGCATTAGATTAGATGCCTATGATTTTGGTCAGTAATAGCTAGTTCTTGCAGCTCCTCGTTTTGTTATGGTTGCAATGTTACTCGAGCCGTAGGAGCAGGAAGAGAGGAAAAACAAAAATACACGCAAAAATGTAGCATCTTTGTTTGCTTTTAATGTTAATTAAGAACGGAAGCCCCTACGCTACAGCTTCCAATTAGTGCTTATCAACGCAATGACAACGAGAATCTCTCTTATGTTGCTTCTATTTGTTAAGCAATGTCGGTGGAGGTTTCACCGAGGGGAAGCAATACCTCTTGGTTAATTGCTGGTTCTGATTGATTATTCATTATACTATTGTTTCAAATAGGATTGTCAAATCCCAATGGGCTAAATTTGTGTCCTGTGTTTTTTTACCAGGAACACCGAGTGCGAACCAGATATGGCTCTGTATCTGTTTCTGTATTTGGAGATGAAGACAAGCCGGCGCTCATAACATACCCGGATGTAGCTCTAAATTGTGAGTTTTCTGATGACCTTTCAAGTTTGTAGGTGAAAGCTTGCTAATTTTTCCATGGCAGGGTAGCTGATGTTGCTATTTTTTTTTGTTTGGTAGATATGTCTTGCTTTCAAGGATTGTTCTTCTGCCCAGAGGCCGCGTCGCTGTTGCTTCACAATTTTTGTATTTACCACATCACTCCTCAAGGTCATGAGGTCAGTCATGATGGCTCTTTCTTACCCAATATTATGTAAGCATTCACTGTTTGCCCGTATTTGCTCTGATACTTACATGTGTTATTTTGTCCTACAGTTGGGAGCGGCTCCAATTTCATCCGATGTGCCCGTGCCATCTGTTGATGAGCTTGTGGATCAAGTCGCGGATGTTCTTGATTTCTTCGGGTACTGTATCACGACACTGGCCAAATTGCGCCTTATAATCGGCTGGTGCTTGATCGACGCCTCTAATGCTGTGCTTCTGGCTTTGCTCATACAGATTAGGATCTGTGATGTGTTTGGGTGTCACTGCCGGTGCCTACATTCTCACCCTCTTTGCAGTAAGTATTACTCTGAGCAGTTATTTCAAAGCTTGCCTTGTCTTTTCTTTTTCTTTTTCTTAAGAATGTATGTATACATTGTCACAGACAAAATACCGGGATAGAGTGATTGGCCTTATGCTAGTTTCGCCGCTATGCAAAGCCCCTTCTTGGAGCGAGTGGTTGTACAATAAGGTACTAACATACATTTAAATCTGTCGGTACTGCAGTATTGGTAATGTGTTCTGTGAATTAACCTCAAACTCTTATGTACCAGGTATTATTAAACTTGCTTTACTATTATGGGAGTCGTGGGCTAGTCAAGGAATGCTTGCTTCAGCGGTATTTTAGCACGGTATACTTGGTCTTCTGTTAGCTGCTTTTTATTTGCATCCTTTTATGTATATCAGCTTCGCTCAACAGTTTTCTGATGCTATGTGCAGGAAGTTCGTGGGAATGGACAAGACCCTGAATCAGAGATTGTGCAAGCCTGTAGAAGTGTAAGTAGTTCATCTCCTCGTCAGCTTTCTGATATGATTTTGACAAGATTGGTAGCTGTCTACTTATAGAAAGTTAGTCTGAAGCAATAGGTTTCCTTTTATGCAGTTACTTCATGAGCGACAGGGATCTAATGTATGGCGATTCCTTCAGGCGATAAACGAGTAAGTGGACAAATTATCTTCTGTGCATTGCCTGAACATGCAAAGAAACAGGATTTGAACATACTCAAGTGAATTTTTCCATCCATCAGGAGACATGACCTGACGGAAGCGTTGAAGAAGCTTCAGTGTCGGACACTGATTTTTGTGGGAGAGAACTCACAGTTCCACGACGACGCAGTCCATATGACCACAAAGCTAGACCGGAGATATTGCGCCCTAGTCGAGGTATAAAGACCATATCACAATTTAACAGCTGACATAGCAAATTGATGATCCATACGCAGAGTAAGGCAAGTTCTGAATGTGCATTTCGCCTCTAAATCGCAGGTTCAGGCATGCGGGTCACTCGTCACCGAGGAGCAACCGCACGCGATGTTGATCCCCATGGAGTACTTCCTCATGGGATATGGGCTCTACAGACCTTCCCAGCTGGATAGCAGCCCCCGGAGCACACTGAACCCATTCTGTATATCGCCTGAACTTCTGTCACCGGAGAGCATGGGAGTGAAGCTGAAGCCCATCAAGACTCGGATCTCGCTCAAAGTTTAGCAATTGGCAAATGAATGAATCCTTGATGGCCTGACAATACAAGCTCATGAAGGTGGAACACTGCATGGGCTAGTCTGAATTCAGATGGTCACTGCCAGCAAGTTTTGGTACCTCCAGTGATGCAGCTAATGGCAGTTTTTTTTTTCTTTTCATTGTGGTTAACTGATATAATCTGTATCGATGTGTTATTAGGCAGAGGTGGGAGTGAGTTTGTAGGGGAGAAGGGTGGGTCTGTTTGTTCATATGTTTGTAGTCAGAAACACATGTATATCTCATCACATCGTTCCATACGAGAAAAAGAAGAGAGAAAATGATAGAAGCAGAATTTTGTTGTGAAAAAGTTTCATAAAGAAATTATTATTTTTACATCTGTTTAAACACGCTGCCATTCTTAAACTTGAGGCTGTGTGCGCTGCTGTCGGTGTACATTGATAATGTGAACCATTGGCACAAGACTCGCAGATTCCTACCACTGTTTTTGTTTCTGGTTTCTTGTCACCTTGATCTGCACCATGGAGCGAGTAGTGGCGAAGATTGGAAGGTCGTCAGGGATGGTCCACTGACGCAGGCATGAGCTAAGCAGACCTCTCATCAGGCCCTTGTTTAATTTCAAATTTTTTCTTCAAACTTTCAACTTTTCCATCATATCAAAACTTTCCACACACATACAAACTTCCAACTTTTACATCACATCATTCCAATTTCAATTTCAACCAAACTTCCAATTCATTCCAATTTCAATTTCAACCAAACTTCCAATTTTGACGTGTACTATCCACAAGTTGTCCTGCCTTTGTTTCAGAGCTCCAACAAAAGCTGCTCGACCATTTCGAGTCATACGCACGCCACCAATCGTAAGTTCGTAATGTAGGGGTAATTCTCTTTGGTTTACTAGGTCTTTATCACGTTTCATAATGGCAAATTAACAGGCCTATAAGTAAGGTTAATCCTTGCTTGTCAATTAACCGTTCAACATATTTCCGCACAACACTAAAAAGAAGGTTATTGCCGTGTTCTTGCGGTAACAGTTGAACATCTTTGGATGATATTCTTATATGTTCAATCGTTCGATGCCTCTGTTAAATTTGGCATATCCAAATTTACTGCTTTTATGATTACTTGTATTTCTACCAATATAAACATCACCCTGTCTATTGATCTCGGTGGATTTCAGAAGATGGTTTGTTCGTTCTGCGCAACGCATCCCAAGCGAAACTTTTCGCAAAAACAAAACAAAAAAACAAACGGAGAAAACAAGTTTTGAAATCATTTGTGTATTGTGTGGCCAGTTACTAATGAAGCACCTCCAGTAAGAGGAAGGGGCTATCAGCGAAACTGCCAGCATCGATCTCGGCCTCCCATGAATCAGAAGAACAGCTAAGCGAGTTAATCCGGGATTATGAAGGCCATCAACCCAGCAAAAACACCATTGCACAAACGCAAACAAACAAACATAGATCTCGCGGGAGAGAAGTAAAAAAAAAGAAAATGTTCCAAAATCACCCTGCCACCCAGCATCACGAGGAGACGACATGGATGGAGCTCGTCGGATGAATCTGAAGCACAAGGATTCATCTACGCCCGCAACGGAACCGACGCGGCACCAGCAATAAATCCACCCGGTTCTCTCAAAGGCGATCAAGAACACACCACCAAAATCACAAATTCAAAAACTAGAAAATCAAAATCACCAAAATCACTAAGATGCGAGAGAATCAAGTAGATGAAGATAGGAGAAACTAGAGGCAGGAACAGAACAACCACCCCTGCTCCGCCATGGCCACGACGGAGAGGAGATCCGCTAGGGTTTCATGTACGCGGCGGCGGCGGAGGAGGCGGATGGGGACGAGGTGAACCGGCGCTCTCGAGCGCTTCATATAGGGCGCGGCGGGGCAGCCGGGCCCATGGGCCGTGATCCGTGGGCCGTCAGCCGTAGGATGATATGCGCGGGGATAAGTTCACTTTGTGACCCTGAAAAGTGATCGAAATCTAATCCATAACCCTAAACCACCAAACCGGATATCCCGACCCCCAACTCTCAAAACCGGTGCAATTTTACTCCCTCGGTGGTTTTGGAGGGCGGTTTTGCTGATGTGGCGCCTACGTGGCAATATTGAGTCGGTCTTCTTTTCAAGTGGCGTTGACGTGGCACCTAGGTGGCATTAGAAATAAAAAAATATGTGTGGGACCCATTTGTCATTGTATGGGTGGGACCCACTGACATGTGGGGCCCACATAAATCATCCTCTCTTCATCCTCCCCCCCCCCCCCTCCCCCCTCTCTCTCTCTCTTCCGTTCAGCAAGCGGTGGCCATGGGACAGGGGCCAGCGGCGGCGGCGGCGGCAGCGGGTGGGAGCCGACGGTGGCGACGGGAGGGCGGGCAGGCGAGGGGCCGGATCCCCTAGTGGGAGGACGAGGGGAACGGCTGCGAGCGGGAGCCGGCGGCGGACCTCACTCCCGGGGAAGACGCTGCTCCGGTGACGCCACCATGAGCCGATGGTGGGGAGCAAGCAGGCATCAAGGGAGGAAGATGGAGGGCAGGATGGCAAGCTCGAGCTCACCGATTCCAATCCCCTCTCTCTCGCCTCCGTCTTCTCACCAGCGGTCTCCTCCCCTTACTCCCCGTCTCCTTGCTCATGCTTGCGGGAGGAAGGTGATGAAAGCCATAAGCCTGAAAGGTATCGAGATCATTCACTTCTCCTGTGTTCTTGTTATTCATCTGAGACGCTGAAAATTTGTTGTTTCGTCAGAGATGCTGAATTTGTGTTTGTGTGCATGAATCTTGTGCTTCGTCAGAGATGCTGAATTTTGTGTTTGTGTGCATGGATTTTGCAGGCGTGCTGAGGACTGAGATCAACCCGTCGCTCGACAAGGTGACCGTCGTCGGTGACGTGGACAGCAGGGTGCTCGTCCAGAAGCTCTCGAAGGTCGGCAAGATCGCCGAGGTGATGGCGCCGCCGCCGCCGTCACCGGCTGCGCCTTCGGAAGAAGGCAAGAAGAGCAACAGCAATGGCGGCGAGAAGCCGACCTCGCCGGCGGACGAGAAGAGCGCGCGCAAAGACGAAGGCAAGGACGGCAAAGGCAACAAGTCGCCAGCGACGGCGGCGGCGTGCAAGCAGGAATGCAGCAAGTGCACGGCCAGGAAGGAAGCCGCCACACGCGCCGACGAGGCTGGCCGCGCCGGTGGGAAGACGGCATCGTCCAAAGACGCCACCACCAAGAGCAGCGGCGACGGCGACAAATCTGAACCAGCGGCGGTGGCAGTGGAGTACCAGTACCACCACCACTACAACTGGGCGGAGCCGGCCATGGTGGTGCCGGTTCACCTCCCGTACTTCGCAGCGAATGCGACGCCGTACTACGCCGGAGGCTACTACCCGATGCCGCCGCCGATGTCGGTGCTCCGTCACCCTTCTTAGCTCCGGCCACAGCCGTCACGCTTCGACGAGGACAACACCGCCGCCGGCTCCTGCCCGTCGCTGGCCCCCGTCCGCCGCTGGCCCTCGTCCCACGGCTGCCGCTCGCCCGAAGGTTGATGAAGAGAAAGAGAGAGAAGGGGAGGATGAAGAGAGGATGATTTATGTGGGCCCCACAGGTCAGTGGGTCCCACCCATACTTTTGGTGAATGATAAATGGGTCCCACATTTATTTTTTTTTATTTCTAATGCCACCTAAGCGCCACGTGAAAAGAAGACCGAGTCAATATTGCCACGTAGGCACCACATCAGTAAAACCGCTGAGGGAGTCAAATTGCACCGGTTTTGAGAGTTGGGGGTCGAGAAATCTTGTTTTGTGGTTTAGGATTATAGATTAGATTTCGACTACTTTTGAGGGTCACAAAGTGAACTTATTCCTATGCGCGGCGTTGGGTTGGGCCGTGCCGGGCAGCAATTCTAATGGGCCTACATTACAAGCTTTTGATCCTAGCCGCACGTACGCCTCCATCCAACGGTTGTCTTGGACCCAGTAGGGGCTCGGAGAATTCTTTTCCGACCCCCAACGGTCGGAGAGTTCGCTGTGACTTGTGGGCTGTGCTGTGTGGGCCGGAGATTCAGCCCATGTATGGCGCCGCATACCGGCCCATGGTCTCGCTCTATCCACTCATCCATTCAATTGAACTGAAAACCATTTCTTCATCTGCTTCCTCTGCTCTTGACTGTCTTCAGTTCGCCATCAAAAAAAAAAAAAAAGACTGTCTTCAGTTCTGCCACCGACTGTTGAAATGCTCTGTGTCTTCAGATCAAACCTGCCTCTTTCATACTGAAACTCTGAAACACACGGTTGGTAACTTGGTAGTATGATGATCTCTCAGGCCATAAACTCTCTGAAACTCTGAATGTTTTTTGGAATGTTTGGTCAGGTTTCAGAGACAGTCAATTCAGCTGTCAAACAGTGGCTGCTGCCCGGCAAGTCCAGGTGTATCGAAAGAAACGCGTAGAGAAGCGACGAGCCTGATGGTTTGCATCCATTGACCATTGTGAACTAGCTGAGCTCGATCGAGTTTGAAAACTTTCATAAAACCTGTTCAGTTGTTTTCATGGCAAAGGAATTTTTTGTGATGTGATTGTGAACCCTGCCGTGCATGTTTGGTGCCTGTAGATTTCACAGCTGGTCCTTGGATGCATGCCATACATGTGTTTTTGTCACCTCTCACCTATGGCCTTCTTCTAGACTGAATGATATGAACAGTGTTGTCGTAGTTACTAACCAGGTACTTGGTTTTACCAGGTCATTTGACCTCACATTTTCTTCGTGACAATATTTAGAAGAGAAAAAATGTAGAAAAACAAGGAGACACGTTTGGTGTAAGATAATGCTGCCTCCGTTACAGAATGCGAGAGGCTTAGTTTTGTCTCCTAAATCAAACTTATCTAGTTTTGACTAAATTTGTAGAAAAATATATTAATATCTACAATATCTAATAAAACTAATTTTATGATGTACATGTCGGTGCAAATTTTTTTCAAAGCTAGATAACTTTGACTTATGACAAAACTAAAACCTCTTATATTCTGGAACGGAGTAGTATTCAACTATTTAATTTGGAGACCGGAGATTCAATTTTCATGGGGCGATCTTAACGAGGGAGTTAAGATTTTTTTGGGGGAGTTGAGATCTTAACATTATGTCTTTGATGGGTGATGAGTCCTGTGTTGGGCAAACTGCGGTTTAATAAATTGATGATGGTGCATGTGATGACTTTTGCGCCGTTCTTGGCAGATCAAACATCACATTCCAACAAAAAAACATTGAGGAGTAGGAGAATTATTAAGGATGGCGAGTTGGTGACACAAACGTTAATTTGGACGCGACCGGATGCAGTTCTCTATCAATTAATGGATCTCGAGCTTAAAATGAAGTACTGCATTTTTTGTATTGTGTTTATATGTTTCAGACATTCAGTAAAGTGTTTCAGCCAAAAAGGAAATATGGGAATAATTTAGAAGACATAAAGTGCGGCTGAAATGGACATGCTCCGTAGTGTTTTGCTATCCAAATTGATATTCCTTAATGATTTCCAAACGGATTGGATTCTTCTCCAGAAAAAGAGATGGATTTTCCCAACGGATTGGATTCTTCTCCGAAAAAAGAGTTGGATAGAAGGGAAAGGAATTCTTCAGTACAACTTCTTGCAGGAGAACCAGACAAGATGCAGGATTCTGGTGCTGGATATCTATCTGAAACTGTACTGGTTTTGGTTCCTTTGCAATTAATTCACCAAGAATAGCATCCCCCACTCAACATCTGCTTTGGATATAGATACCCCTCCTACCTTGTCACAGCTTCCTTTTCATGCCTGGATTTGTCACTCACAAGGGGCAGAATCACTGGAGAAAGAAAGACAGCAGTAAGAGCATCTCCAACAGCCTCCTTATCCCACTCTTCAAGTTAAATTTTAGCAATTTTGGATCAAAAACACACTCCAACAGCCTAGCTAACTGGCTGGCCAAACTTCTCCCCACGCTGGCCAACTTTGGCCAGCCAAAAGCGCCTCTCCAATCGTGGGCCCCACGCGTTTTCCCCACCCTCCGCCAGCGCAACCCTCCGCCCCCAGTGGCCAGTGCCGAGGCCACCGTCGTCGTCGTCGGGGGCGCCATCGTCGTCGTCGCCGAGGTCGCCGTTGTCGGGGTCGTCGTCGTCGAGGTCGTCAGGGCCGCCATCATCGTCGTCAAGGTCGTCGTCGAGGTCGTCGTCGGGGTCGTCAAGGTCGTCGTCGGGGTCGTCAAGCGCCGCCTCCCACCTCATCCGCCTCCCACCTCCCCGCGCCTCCCGCTGTCTCCCGCCTTTCCCCGCCGCCTCCCGCCGCTTCCCAGCCGCCTCCCCATGCCGCCCCTCCGGCCTCCGCCGCGTCGGTGCCCAACCTCCTCCAGCGCCGCACCTCCGCCCCACTGCCGAGGCCACCGTCGTCGTCGTTGGGGGCGCCATCGTCGAGGTCGTCGTCGGGGTCGTCGACCGCCGCCTCCCACCTCCCCGCGCCTCCCGCCTCCCCGCGCCGCCTCCCGCCGCTTCCCGGCCGCCTCCCCGCGCCGCCTTCCACCTCCCGCCTCCCAGCGCCGCCGCACCACCGCGCCATACGTCGGCCGCCTCGACGGGAAGGAAGGGGAGTAGAAGAAAAGAGAAAGAAGGGGAGGGAGAGAGGAAGAAGAGGGGAGAGGGGCTGACATGTGGGTCCGATTTTATTTTGGAGAGGATTAATAGAGAGTCTGTTGGAGTGAGTGCCTAGTTTGACTAGTTAAATCAGATGGAGAGTTGGCTATATGGGTGTTTGGAGAGTTCGATTTGGAGAGGCTGTTGGAGATGCTCTAACTTTGCAAGAAACAAGGTTGGTGCAATGGTGCTTCTGTGATGGATTGATGGATGGATCATTGCACAGAGTATCATTGCTCTTCACTTTAAGATGATGAATCTACTGTACAAGAGGACATGCCGTTGAAGTTTCTTTTTCATTCTCAGTTGTGCAATATCATTTTATTCCAAGGAGCTAGAAGCACTTTGCAATGCATCAATTAAGCATATCATTATCACGTAGACCTATTAAACCAGTAGAATCCAATAATAACAATAATAATAATGCATTGAAATCCAAATGGCATCTCATCTATCATGAACAGGCACAGATGATCAACACTTCAACAGGAAATGTTTTGTTCACTACAGTAGATCCTCTAGCACCTAACACAGCTATAATAAGTTCCTTTGAAGGAGTGTCTCTTGTGCCACTTCAAATCATTGGTTCAGTAGGGTATTGTAGCATTTGCATGATGCCATTGAGAAGCTTTTTTTTTTTTACAATATAAATAAAGAATTCAGAAGTGGTAGGATTTTTTCCATGTGTTTCACAACATAAGCCTCCAAGAACACGGAAATAAGGGCTTTGCCAGGAAAGCACAATTGCGCTGTGCTTAATTGACTAGTAAAGTTAAGCTGGGATATTGCCCATTTGTATATACTAACAAAAAATTTTAAAATGCAATTGAAGTGATAATTTGGATGTGCCCCCCTTCATTTCGCAACTTTGTTTTATTTACTTTCGTTTGGTGTGGATTACAACTAACTCTAATGTGGTGGTTGTCCAAATCTAGTCATGGAATTTAAAAGGCTAAAGAGAGACCTTGCTGTTGATAAGGAGAAAGATGAGTTCATCAAAAACTAAGAATTTCCCATACCTAAGTTGGGTGCACAAAGTACAGATGTTTCTAGTAAATTAATAATCCACCAATTTCAGACTGTAACTCATCCAGTTGGATTTATATACAAGGAGAAGAACAAATAGAACAGTTGCCTGATTTTTTTATTTCATGAAACTCAAAAAAAATAGCACATAGTTTCTAATGCTATGCAGGTTCATAAGGTCCAAAGTACCGGAATCTCTCCCTTTTGTGGTTGTTATAGCGAGACCTTTTCCTAATTTCGTCCAATCCTGGATCTTGGCACCTAACCTTGATAAGTATGCTTGCTTGCATTAATAAGGGCTTCTCTGCTCTGTGTTTATTTTCTTGTTATTTGGCCAATGCCCTTTATTCTTGACATGGGACAAATTGAAGAACAACACAAGAAATCTTCACCTTAACCAACTACTTCATATTCTCCCTCTTTTTTTGTCACATCCAGTCACATTAAAATCTCATCCTCAATTTTATACTGTTTCAATCTGAATATTCTTAGTCAAAGCAGAGCAAACTAGTATCTCAAATGAATCTTGAATTTTCTTTTTTTAATCTTGGGAGGTTAGCTGAGGTTGCAGTGTGTTTCTTATCGATTTATTATTTGATCTAGACGAGCTGACAAAATAGACTTTCCACTTCAAATCGCTCTCATTACGTTTCTAGAATTTTTTTTTGTGTGGCAACAAACAAAATAACATAATATTATTCCGGACGTTATGAAAGGACATGTATGGACCAAAGTATGCTTTTCTTAACGATGACGTCAGCATACACCTCGGACACTGAGGTCTTAGTTTCACATCACAAAATGAAAGTTTCTCTATAAATTGTTCTGGTCCAAACTAAGAAAGCAATTAATAGCTACTCAATCCAATCTAATCTCGAAACAATTTCGATAATATCGATGCCATCATTTTGCTTCTAGATCAAACAAAAAACATTTTTTTTACCCAATTTCTTTTGTGGCATGGCATACACGTTCAGCACAACATTAAAAAAAAACTCACTCTCTGTCTATTTTTAAAAACAATTTCAGGCCATGAAGAAAACAAATTCTCTTTTCCAATCAGTTGACCTTGCCAGGATAAAAAGGCAGGTGCAGTGGCAAAAATGCACAAGCAAAGGTATAAGATTCCTGATATGAACCATACAAACATGATTTTCATATGCAACATGATGTTGACATAGATAATATTAAATATCACTAATAGCATCCAAAGAGGAGAGACTCTCTTTCAGATTCCTGTGGATTCCAGGTGCAGTTAAATAGGGCAGCAGCAGCAGCATCTATAGTAGAATCAATGTATCATGGTGCCCCAGCATTTGGATTGAATTGTCAATACCATAAAAGGAGATGATGCCAATGTGTGTGTCCCCTTCCATTGGCACCAGGTGTTAGCTCCTCAGCTAGTTGCTTGTCCCACACCACATCTTTCTTTCTCCTCCCTTATTAAGCTACTAGATGCTGCTATTGCTACATCTCCACATGCACCATCTTATCTCAACTCCTTAGAATTCCCACTCCTCTTCTTCTTGTTCTTCTTGCTTCCCTCCAACTTCTTCTTCTTGTTGTTCTTGCTGTTCTTGTGGTTCTTGGCCTGCCATCGGCGGCGAGCATGGCCAGGAAATGCTCCAGCTGCGGGAACAATGGCCACAACTCCAGGACTTGCACCGGCCAAAGGAGCCTGCAGGAGAGTGGCGGCGGTTATGGCGGCGGTGGCGCCGGTGGCGTGAGGTTGTTCGGGGTGCAGTTGCACGTCGGCGGTGCGCCTCTGAAGAAGTGCTTCAGCATGGAGTGCCTATCGTCGCCGTCGCCGTCGCCGTCGCCGGCGTACTACGCCGCGGTCGCCGCCGCCGCCTCCAACTCGTCGCCGACCGTGTCGTCGTCGTCGTCGCTGGTGTCGGTGGAGGAGGCCGGCGAGAAGATGGCCAACGGGTACCTCTCCGATGGCCTCATGGCGAGAGCTCAGGAGAGGAAGAAGGGTGAGTTCTTGAGAGACATATGGTTTGTGCATGCTTCACTAATTTGTTGTGGTTTAGCACTAATTACAGCCACCTGACAGTGATCTAATCATCATTAAGACTGAATTTATTTTTGTTGATGAGAAGTTATTTGACTTCTTTTGTTATGTCCCCTTCTCCAATTTTTGCCACCAGTTGCTGTCTGCCATACAAGCCCATTTTTATGCTTCCAACTTGGTACAGGAATATATGCATGACTGACATAAATTTCCTAAGAATCAGATTTCTGTCTCTCAAGTTGCAACCTGAAACTCTCATCCTTATCACAAACAAAGACCTGATTTATCCTAGTTGTCTCGTCCTAATCATTTGCATCTAGATTCTTGAACTCCAAACACTAGATTGTTTTTGCAGATATCAACAGATAAAAAAAAATCCTCTAAATTGCTGTGTTTTCTACACCTGAAATTCTGAACATGTCAAACTCATCAGTTAACTGTCATCAGGTGTTCCATGGACTGAAGAGGAGCACAGGAAATTCCTGGTAGGGCTCGAGAAGCTCGGGAAAGGCGACTGGCGCGGCATTTCCCGGCACTTCGTCACGACAAGAACACCGACGCAGGTGGCCAGCCATGCCCAGAAGTATTTCCTCAGGCAGAGCAGCCTCACGCAGAAGAAGAGAAGATCCAGCCTCTTTGACGTGGTAAACTTCAAACATCTTTGCAACAATATCTACACAGACAGTTTCAGACAGCAAGAATCATGTATTTATATGAGTGAGTTACAGTAACCTAACATGTCTGAAAATTTGATGTTTTTTTTCTTTTCTTTCAGATTGAGGATGCAGAAAAGGCTCCGAGTGTGAATGAACGTCTGAAACTGAGACACGAGACAGCCTCTGTGCCTGCTGAAATGGGATTCCCTGCACTGTCACTGGGTATCAGCAGCATGGCACAGCCAGAAGCCATGCTGCTGCCTCCTCCATCCTTAACCCTGACGCCAAGCTGTTCATCACCAGCAGTGAGCAGCAGCAGCAGCGAACAACCAAGAACAATCCATCCTTCTCTGATGGTGGCAAAGCCTCAGGTGCAACTGCAACTCCAGCCACCTGATCTGGAGCTCAAGATCTCGACTGTCCGTCAGAACGATCAGCCCAGTTCGTCGCCGAGGACGCCTTTTTTGGGGACAATCAGGGTCACTTGAACTTAAAGAGAGAGAGAAGAAGAAGAAAAGGAATTATCTTAGAGATTACTGAATTATTTGTGCCTAAAAGGAGAAGCTTTTGCTAGTGGTGTATGTGTGTGTCCCCTTGGCAAAAACACAATGCCATCTTCCACCATGTATCATTTTTATAAGGCTATTAGGAAGTGAAGCTTTTACTGGACTAATCTAGTCTTGCAAATAATAAAAGGAACGGCTGCTACATGCTCCCTCTAGCCATCACCTTGATTGGCTTCTTTATGTTGACACAAAGGAGATTCAAAAAGAGTTGGTTTTTGGTTTGGTTTGTGTTTGTTTTATGGGGAGGAGAAGGTGAAAGATGAGATCACCATATTCACTTATTCAGTTTGCAGTGGACACTGAGAAGGACAGGCAAATCACTGGCTAGTGCGCAAATCCATTTTATTATTATTATTCTTTTGCCTTTTCTTGCACCAGTTTGGTATGTACGTATGGATTCAGTTGCTCAATTTTGTTAGATTAAATTTTGAATGGATCTCACAGCGTCCCTGCTAGGCTGCTACCCACCAAATACGAAGAATATATATTTTGTAGATAGTACTACCACTTTTCTTTATTCTTCGTATTACTGTACAATATTGTACGATGTTTTTTTAGATTTTATAGCCATGAAGAGATACCGTGAGATACTATCCTTCTCTTAGGACCGCAAAAAAAACTCTTACTATTCTGTTTACTCTGCCCATTGGATAACATATATTTACGTGCTAGCATAGAATTTACTTTGCTTGCAATACTACATAATAAAAACGTGCTTGTAGCATGATGATAAATACCAGAAAGCTACCGACCAAGGTTTAAATGTCCAGAATTACTATTTTTCTTTCAACGGATGTTCTTAAGGAAATCTGTCAGATTATGCAACCTTACATTGGCTCTTTGATTCATGCATGAGGTAAGAAAAAAAAAAGTGAGGTAATATCCTTCTTCGAGAATAATAATGTTTGCATCGCCCATCGGATAACACACATAAAGTACTAACATATAGTATTTACTTTGTGTGTAGTACTACTACGTATTAGCAAACGTGCTTGTAGCATATGGTGATAAATGCCAGAAAACTACCGATCAGAGTTTATCCTAGGCCCTATTTAGTTCCCAAATAAAAACTTTTCACCCTATCACATCGAATGTTTGAACACATGTACGGAGTATTAAATATTAAAAAAATAATAATTACACAGTTTGCGTGTAAATTGCGAGACGAATATTTTAAACCTAATTGTTCCATGATTTGACAATATGGTGCTACAGTAAATATTTACTAATGATGGATTAATTAGGCTTAATAAATTTGTCTCGCAGTTTACATGCGGAATGTAATTTGTTTTTTTATTAGTCTACGTTTAATACTCCCTCCGCTTCAGGTTATAAAACGTTTTGGCTTTGGTAAAAGTTAAACTATTTCAAGTTTGACTAAGTTTATAGACAAATATAGTACTATTTATAATACTAAACTAGTTTCATCAAATCAATAATTGATGAATATATTTTTAAATAAATTTGTTTTGATTAAAAATGTTACTACTTTTTTCTACAAACTTATTTAAACTTAAAGCGGATTGACTTTGACTAAAATCAAAACGTCTTATAAACTGAAACGGAGGGAGTACTTCAAATGTATGTCTATATATCTAACGTGTCACGCCAAAATTTTTCGTCTCGCAAACTAAACAGAGCCTTAGTCTCGCACAGAAAAAGGCATTCATTGGTTTCCCAAGAATATGGGTTAAGAATCACCCTATGGAGAGCAAACACTCGTGTATAGGATATATAGAAGCATTAAAAAGGTTATTAACTGATTTAAGTATATGGGGTAACTCTCATTCTCTCCTTAATTTTAATATCGCAGGGAGAGGTCTTTGCTTTGGAGCTGAGATTTCTTTATCCAATGTACTGTATTAAATTAAACCACCTTACCTTCGTAAAGGAATTTGGGTCACAAACGCAACAGTAACATATTTTTGAAGTAAATTACTATCACAACTTATATTCAAATCTTACCACAATAGTATATTTCTGAAAAGAAAAGGACAACTCTTTTCTCACAATATATGAATTCAGTTCGGAATCGACAAGTTCTTCGCCCCTGAAACGATGGATTCAATGAATCGAGTTATCAATCATTCAGGTCAATCTCACCCAAGATTAGATAGGATCATAGGATCATGAATCCTGACGAACAAATATCTGATAAGCCGCTCAAACATGCCAGGTGGCGGTCTCGAGTTCGTTGCCCAAAGTCGCACGACTGCAACGGTGGTTGGATCTGCGACATGCATCGCTTTCCCTGATGGATGCATGTTAACTTAGCTCAAGGCACAAACAAATCAATTCAATATATATTAAAACTATGAGATGTATATTGATTGTTTTCTGTTCACTCAGGCACAGTAATTCATCATATCTTTTTTGCAACGATAAGAGCGCTGTACCTAACAAAAGCACACACTTACTTGCCAATTTGGGAGTAAACAATTGCTCTATTTAGGAGGGTGATAGCTAGCTAGAAAGGTACTAGCAAAGAGAGAATATAATGAAAGGAAAGAATCAAAGATTAGGATATGGTGTTGTGTAAAGAACTGAAGATATATAGAGTGAAGGCAAAGGCTAAGATTGCAAACCACAGGATTGGAACTGGAGTCGCACGTAGGCCCCCTGCACATGCTGAAAGAGTACTTGTGTTGATTAATTAACAACTCAAATGGTTGGAGATATAAAGTGATGGGAGAAGAAGAGATCAAAAGAAAATTTAGATAAAGTTGGTGTTCTGTGATCTTATCTTTGATTATTTTAGTTCAGGGAGGGTTGGGTAAGGATAATGAGCTTTTCTTCGGGTCTTTTTTTTTTCTTTATCTTTGCAGATCAAAGCTAATTCTATCTTGTTGAAATTATTGGACTGACCCCATAGCGATTATTGATGGTGGGGAAACACGTTTGAAATAGAGAACACTTGTGAAACTAACATTTTTATAAGGAGATTGACAGAGACACACTTCGGTTATTTCTCCCATTAGATTATGGGATATCACATAATAGAGACGACAATACCTTATATACTTGGTCCATGGTGCAGCGGTCCGGCCTACAAGTGTGTTTATGCCTAGTTCTAGCTAACAGATTATAAATTATGAGTAGAGTGTAAATTATCATTGACACTTCTCTTAAATTACTAAACGGCACATGATATTTATAAAAACTTTTTCCTCATCGGTATTTCTTACTAAACTTCTTTAGATCGACTTATCAACTTTCTAATGTTTGATTCATTCGTTCACACCATTATCATAATGCCTTGAATCGCAAGGTCTGCTTAGTTTGGTCGCGAGTCTGCACACTAACGGGTTTGGCAGCCTTGGGGGTCCTCAATCTTCATATGATGGGCACCAACCTGTGTGCAAGATGGGTCTAGAGTCGTTGTGTGTAGTTTGTTGTAACTGTGTAGAGCATCTACCCTTTCTAATCTTATTAAAAGATACGAGTATGTACTTTAATTTGTGTATTAAAAAATTTAATTCTGTGAATCGGTATATCATATTAGTTGACACTTTTTGGACCAACACGTACGCTCAGCCTTCACCGCCGTAAAATCAGCTGCAAATCAACGACGGGTGAAGTGGACGAACACCGGCCAAACACGTACGTATGCAACGACATGAAATCAATCAAGCCGGCCACCGAAGGCGAAGGGTCGAGGCCATGATGCATGGCACCTGTCAGTTCCCCATTTGTCGCCTTCAATCTCCCCTGCACACGTGGCACACACGTACCAGACGATGTACGACTGAAACCAAATTAAATGGACAAAGATTATATCTGGTCCAATTATTCAGATACATCGATCCTCTCGTAACGTGCACACTTATCACATACAAAACGATGGCTGAATCTGAATTGCTGGTAAAAAGTACTACCAAGAGATCGAATAATTAGGGCTACTTAGCTCTTGATACATCGCTTTCTCTGGCCATGGATATCGTATGTATGGTCTGCAAGACTTCGCTGCTGCTGCTGCTGTATGATGAATTGATGATGATGGATGCATGGATGGTCTCGACTGGAGATGTGATCGGAAACCTAATTCTGGGCGAGCAAAGTCTTGTGCCGTGATGGAGCCATCAGAGGCGGCGAGACGATGAGATCCATTTCTTCTTATTCTTCTTCTTCTTCTTCTTCTTCTTCTTCTTCTTCTTCTTCTTTTTGTTCTGAAGCTGTGCCATCAGCAGCAGCAAGGAATACTGGCCCATTAATTTCGACGTTTTCGTTGAAGAAACTATGCGAGACGTGTGTTCTCAGAGACCTAAGCTACAATTCACATTGTCCTGTGTGTACGATGATTGTGCCCTTTCTTTTGTTCGTGAAGCAATCTCAATCTTCTGCCGAAAAAAGGAGAAAAAAAAAAGATGCCTACAAGTTCATATATATGCTTCTTGTTTATCCTCTCTGTACTTGTTGTTCAGGGAAATCATGTGTTAGTTGCGTCTACAATTGGAGTCAGGTTTTGACTTTGGTGAACCCCAACTTGTGTTATCTTTCTCCCTTTTTTTGTTCATCATATGTTGGTACAGATAACCCAAAAAAAAATTAGGTTGACCCTAAAGTTAATTCAGATGAGATGGATAGAACGCAACCTTGAAAATGGTTGACATAACTGAAGCTCAAGTATGTGCTCCAATAGAAGAAACGTATAGGGCAACCATTCGTGTCTCTTTCGTGATCAATTTTCGCTAGTTTGCGTAGCACTACAGTATACTATCTATCTATCTAAACAGGGAGCCCAAATTATTGCAAAGTGATGCCACGAAAGAGAAGAAAAGATGGCTCCTCTTTTTTTGGATAAAGGAAGATGATAAATCAGTGAAGACTTCTGTGGAGACAAGAAATTTGACGGCGACAGTTCAGCAAACACCCCCATCTTTTTAGGATCAATATATCAGTAAATAGTTTGATTCTGCACTAAACATGGAGAATTTTCAAAGATTGAGACACACTACTGCATGTTGTTTCATAAGTGATCGTTGTTGAATAGCAAAAGGTAGGACGCATAGTGTAGGTTGCACAAAAGAAGATTGGTTCGTCAGAGTTAACACAGGATATATTCTGTGGCTGTAATGCGCTTTCATGCAGATTATTGTCAAATAATTGTGACACAGTAACCATGCACAGTCATCTATGCCTCAAGAATTGGCAGCAGGAAGTGACAGCATCTATCGTTGCAACTTGGAATATTTTACAACCAGATATCAATATACAGATTACTA